TGAAATATTTAGCCTATATAAGAATTTTGTAGATTACATATTGCATGTATGTCAACACAAAATGATAGAAGCACATAATATGCATGTATTTAGCCTATACAAGTTCATTGCTACTAGGAGCAAACAATTTTATTGTTAAAACAAGTATATAAGTTTCCAGTAATAAAAGTTCATTGCTATAGTGAGAAACAAAGTTCGTTGCTATAATAAGTAAGCTAGTTTGTATCTATATGAGCAAACAATGTGTTCACAACCAAGCCTATGACTGATGCTCTATCAAGATCTATGCTTATCGTTCCATAGATTGTATGGTATCATGCACTCCAGCAATCGGGTGAGTGAGGAGTTGTCAATTCCTAACAGCGCTATCCATAATGACCATTGGCTCAAAGAGCTAATGGTCAGAGTAAAGTGTAAGGGAATGGACTTAAGACGATAAGGCCTCATGTTTCAAGTTGCATAAACATACATAACAAAATATAGCAATCATGTTTGATAAAAATCAATTTAAATACAACGAATAATAAGTAGTTTTTCGTACATGCTTTTCCATCCCAAAACATAAAAACCAAAAATAGGGGAATGCGTGAATACTTACAATGCATTGAGATGATGCAAATGGTGCCTTGAACTGCGTTCCACTTGTACCACTACCGATTCCTAAAATAATGGTATACACTAGTGAGTCTCTAATCGAAATCTAACACTAATATACTTACTATTACAATAGAATTATGCTAATATTGCGTCAAAATTTAATATTGTTAAGTTACAAATATTTTTCTGTGAAATTTAGATTTCTATGAATCAATTTGTTGTATTACAATTTCAAATGGAATTTCCCATTATTGAAATGTTAAAATTTAACATTTTAGGAGGTGTTCTAATGATTAAATATTCAAAAAACGAAGTCAATTTAGTTCAAAATCTTTCCAAACTTTGCATTTCAATTTTAAATGAAGTCAAAGATGTTAAGATAGATTTTCTTGAATTTTTGATTTGTCTAGCTATTTTTCACCATCACAAAATCATGAAAAATACTAAACAGTCAATAAGAATTACCAAACTTCTAATTTTGGTTGTAACTATAATACAAGACTTCCAGATAATTTTTCATGGATTATAGATATGTATAACCATTTTTCTTATATTTAATTCACTAAATAGATAAAAATTTGTGAAAAATAGCAATCAATTAAGAAAATTTCTCAAACTTTTTGAACTATTGTTATAAAACATATTCAATCTGGGAAAAATATAAAAGCTGGTTTTCAAGTAGTTTAACATGGTTTTTCAGATTTTTGTGTATTTATTCTATCAAAATAGAGATAAATAGAAAAACAGATTCAAAAATTCCCTAAATTTTTTGTACTAGTGTTATTACATATATAAAAGCTGGAAAAAAATATAAAAGTTGGTTTCCAAATAGTTTAGATATTTTCTTTGTTTTATTCACCTAAATAAGAATTAATTCGTGAATAATTATTAAATAGTTAAGGAAAATTGCCAACCTTTTTGTAAACTTCATATACAGTTTACATAATCTGGAAAAAAAAAATACCAAAATGGGTTTTAAAATAGTGTAACCTAATTCTATGATTTTTCTATGTTTATTTTAGCAAAAATGAAGATAATTAGAAAACAGTATGTAAATTTTCCCAAACTTGGTGTTCCACTTTTATTAAACATGTATAATCTGGGAAAAATGCCAAAGGTGATTTTCATATATAGGAGTCTGATTTGCATAATTTATGTGTATTTAATAAATAAAAATTAAAATAAATAGTAAACAATTAGGATAATTCCTGAAAATTTTTGTAACACTATTTGATGTTGTATATAATATGGAAAAAATATCAATAGTCATTTGTAAACTATGGAGTCCAATTTTTGGATTTATGAATGTTTAATCTTAGAAAAATAGAACAAAATAGCATACAGAAGAGAAAAATCATCCAAGTTTTTATGTAGCATCCTAATGTAATAAATATGTTCTGGTAAATTTGCATGAATTTTGGACGAGTAAAACTATTTTTCCCGATTTGGTTTCATTATAAAATCAAAAATCGTAGAAAAATATAAATACATTATGAAAAAACCTCAAAATATTTTTCTGTGTATTAAACGTGACCTAGAAGAAGAAAAAATTATTAAATGCTCTTTTAATTTCTCGAAACTTGGTTTTATAATTTATTTGAATTAATCATAAAGAAAATTAAAAATATTGAAATTATAACAAAAATTGATAAAACTTAATGAGAGATGTTTATTAACTATAAGGGTTAGCTACGAATTTGTCCACGATTTATGGTCCTTAGAAACTATCTTATATGATTTATTGCTATACTTTGACTTAGGTTTTGGTCATGGGACTTCACCATCTACACCATGCATGTATTTTTGGGTTAAATTCTACCACCATCATCATCAAAACCGTGAGTGTGTGTGTATGTTTATGTGTTCATGATCTTTCATTAAAATGGAGCAGAAGATGGAGATAATGTAGGAAACTTTGTAAAACTTGAAAGAAAAGTGAAGGAAAGTAAACATGCTAAAAGAATTATAGAATATATTATCAACACTAACATTTTATAAAGAATACATATCTTCTTGCGCTAATAATATATGAAAAAATTATATTGTATGATTGTGATACAAAGAACATTCTTGAATAATAACAACATTCCGAAAGAATAACAAGTGTAATTCTTAAAAAATAACAAGATTCTTAAAATGTGAGTGTGATGAATCTTTGATTCATTCTTCAAGCCTTTCCTATCATGTCATTTTTCAATCCATTCCTATCAAAATGCAATTATTGAACAAATACATTTGATCTTCTTTAGTGGTCCATATAATCAACTTGATCTTCATATATATACTTGTTGAACTTGATTCCAAATATTTCTCTTCTATGATCAAATATTGAATTCTTCTCCACGCAATTCAAAAAGAATTAGATACATTACTCATTAGTATTACCACTTAAACAAATATAATTGTTGTTAACAAATATTATCAAAGACATTCTAACAGAATGCATTTATATAAATAAATTTTAACAGTATAAATTCTTAAAAAATAGCATTATAACAGAGATTCTCTTCTGACATAATTAGAATTCGAAATTCCATTCAAACAGAATGTTGTAAGGTGAATATATAACTTATTTTGCTTTGATGTCTCTTGGTTTAAATAAAACAAACATAGCGGGAACTTCTTCAGGCATACCTAAGCTATATCCGACTTGATGACATGAATTCAAACAAAATTCTAGCCACCAGGTAACGATTCCCTAATAAGGTTTCGATAATCAAAACTACATAAACAACAACCGTAAGATCGTTTGCTTACTTTTCCAAACTTGAACATAAGAAAAAAAAAATGATCGATCGATTATAAAGACTAACTAAAAATATGTAAAAAAAACGCACATATTTTTTCTATAATCAAATATGAACACCATATCACAAACAATTAATAAGAATTTATATGCAAACCATTCAAAAAAAGTCAAAGAACACTAACATCATATAATAAAAACATCAACACGATTTCTTTGATTATTTTGATTTGCTAATTAAAAAGTCCATTGTTTTGTTTTAACATCCATGATAAAAATTAACTCTCGTTACCAAATTGTCAAATTTGAATAATAAAAAATACAATCTAATCATCTTGTATTACCTACGTTCAAACGAAATCCACAAAAAGAAAATTTCAATGCCTATGATTTACAATTTCAATCTAAAACTTGTAATTCAAAATTTAAGAGATAAATACCAAAGGTAATAAAATCGATTTGTTGAACTGATAATATTTGAGAAATATAATTGCAAACCTAACTGGAATGAGAGAGATAAAGAAAACGATTGTAATATAAGATCGAATGAAGCCCAAATCTTGTTGAAGCTCCTTGCAGGCGGTGGTGCCGATAGGTACATGGAAGAAGGAGGGTGATGGCGGCAACGTTGGTAGCTGTAAGAAAGAAGGAAGTTGCACCGGTGGTGAGGTATGAAGACGTGAAGAGAGGAGTTTGGCAATAACGCAAATGCAAATGTGAGTAAGGTTTTATTTTGGTTATCCTTATTTAAAGGGTATTAAATGTTTTAATTAATTACTAAAATTAAATATGGTAAAGATTAATATTATACCATTTAACAATTTAATAAATATTTAAAATTTGCTAATTTTTTATTGGAGTATTCAGAAACATAATAATTGTGAAAAACATATATATATATATATATATATATATATATATATATATATATATATATATATATACATTGTGCGTCTTTTTCCTACGCATATGTGTGCATGCGTGCGTGTATGTGTGATGTATTCCTTTTATAATCGTTTATGTCCAAGTATTTCGAATATCAATTAAGCAATGTTTCTCTCATATATTGTTCATACTCTTGCATTCCATTATGTATTGTTGTTTACTTTGATTCTTTACATTATGTATTGTTGGAGTGTTATCAACACTAATGAATTAATGAAATGTTGGAAGTGTTGTCGACACCAAAGAATTAAGAGAATGAAGATTATGATGGTTCAGATCCGTCCAAAAGGGACATCTGATTAAGGAAATGAAGATTATGATGGTTCAGACCTGTACAAAAAGGCCAACTGACAGTTACAATTAAAGTAGTCGGAAAGATCATAACTGATGGTGCTAAGAGGAGATGATGACCGGAAAAGAATTTTGTGAATAGTGAGTGTAAGGTAATACATGAATGGTTGTAGGAGAGGGTAGGTTTAAAATTAAGCTAGTGGGGTAGTATGAGTCACTGCTCCACTTGTGTTTGTGCTTTTGTTACAATATTTTCATATGTACTTTTGTCCTCTCTTTTTTTGTTTTTTTCAGTTTTATTACGAGTATCTGATTTAATGTTTACTCCCCTACTCCCACCCCACCGGCACAACCACCCTCACCCTCACCATTGTGACTCACATTTCATAAGTCATCACCCTCTACAATTGGATAGATGTATCAAGTAAGTCTTTCTACAAATAACCTCCCTTACACCATTCATATTAGATTTGCGTATTGTTGGTGTATATATACTATACCATATACATATAATTCTAAATTTGAGAACACGCCTTAAGACCTTTGGATCTCTGAACTAAAGATCCGAATTCTTGCCTGTAGAGCACATGGAACCTAAAGCCTTTTCTACAGCTGAAAATCCAGAAGTAAATGCACTTTTTGCTGCATTATGTACAAGTCAATACATCATCATTACTTTATACGGCTTTGTGAGAATAGTACCTACAAAATTATCAACAACCTGCAATGCATTGGAGTAATTTATGGAAAAAAGCTAAGGTAAAAGACAACAGACTTACTTAAAATCTCCAATATACAGTTTTGAATTTCAATAAAAACAGTCAAGGCATCAGGTATGTAACAAACGTTTATTGATAAACCTACTTACACAACTCCTCATATTTAAGCATAAATAACAGAGCATAATCTCAAGTTCAAACTCTCACTATAGAAACAACACTCTTAAACAACAGTATCCCAACACAAAAAAAAAAAAAAAAAAAAAAGCAACTCTATGAACTATTACAAGAACACGAGCCTTAACTTTAAAATATCTACAACTATTTTTCTTTTTTTTTTTTTAATAAATTAAGTATAAGTAAGGCCATACCTGTCAACCATAAAGGCAATAACAACTTTACTTTAGCTAAAAAGTATTCATGTCACAAATGCTTCTCTCTTTTTTCCTTATTATTCTGCTCTGTTGACAGTAAAAGTCACAAAACCTGTCTTCAACTTTATAATCTTTTTTGCCTTTTTGATCCATTAGCATTTTCTGTTGCTGATTTTCCCTTCTCCCCTCTGAATACCAGATCTTCAACATTAATCATATACACATTTTCGGGTCCTGGTGTACTAAAATCAGCTGGGTTTTTGTTAATTGTACAAATCTCACTCCCAATTGGCTCGATTCTCTCTCTTAAAGTGACACCTTCACTTCGATCTTCACTCACACGACATGGAACAGGAAAAACATAAGATTCCTGTTGTCTGAAAACAGAAGGTGACAACATACCTCTTGATTTCTCCTCGTGTGGTTTATTATAAACTTGACTGGAAGTCAACTTAACATTTTGACCGGTTTGAAACCCACAAGGAAATGAAGATGACTGGACATACCTTGGTTTTGGGAACTGAACATTGGGTATTGGTATTGTTTTTCCATTGATCATGTTTGAGCTGCTGTGAGTGTAACAAGGAGAAAGAGGTTTTGGAAGCTTTCTTTCATCTGTAGTATTCACCTGATGATTTGACTTTCCTGCATCCATTAGACTAAGTAATTGCATCGCAGGGATTGTTTCATTTGGATATGAAGAATCTAACGAACGTATGTTTTTCAGATGATGTTGTTTGGATGATGTTGGATTTAAAGATTGGAAACTGTTTTGTTCTTCAATAACATTTGGAGCCACAACATTCAGATCCAAATCCATGATACCCTTTTGATTATCTTTCTCTGAGCATTTTGTATATCCATTTGGCATGTTAAGAAACTGGTAAGAGACAAGGGGTGGAGTTTTCTTTTTCTTCTTTGGTATTGGTATACAACTGTAACGCGAGTTATTGAGTCTCCAATTTCCATCAAACACATTGAAGTCAGGAGGTGGCTGTTGATTGATGAATCCAGAAGCTTGATTTCTCATGGTGGTGGGACCCGTATTGGATTTCTCACTCGTTGAAGGGTGGAGATTGTCTTGATGTGATGATGATGATGATGATGATGATGTCATACGTTTGTGAATGTTGATATTATGTAAACCTGATACATTTGGTATGAAAGTGTTATTGCTACTACTTCTAGCTTCACATAAGTTTCTCTCGTATTGATTTTTTGCCATGAGTTCAACAACTTCAGTTTCATCTGATCTCCCCAACATCACCATTGGTCCTTTTCTTTGATGATTATAAGGCCCCATTACATCTGAGTATCCTCTAACTCCATTTTTCCTCTTGTGTGGATCAGAGAAATCCTATAAACAACATAAACTTAAAGCAAACATATTATATCATTAAAGCATTTAAAATACAAAAAAATACTAAAAGGCCATACCAATTTCTGATGCCCAGAGCAACTTCCATATGTATAGGGTCGCTGCTCCTGAAAAAGTACTGGTTTAGTAGCATGTCCCTTGCTGACATCATGAACTATTCCCTTTTTTGATTTTGAATCATATGGAATCCAATTATGAATTCTTGATCTCAAATCCCCAAAGAACAAATTATCTTTTCTATAATTATCTTTGGTGAGAGGATGATTCGGTGTTTGTGGGTCGTGATTTAAAGAAAGATTAAGTCCTAATTCTGTTTCTGACTTGCCATCTTTTGGTCTAGAACAATCATCTACATTTGCTCTGGGTTTATATTCCACTCCAAAAGATTTACTTTTGAGAGGATCTTTTGACATATTTATTGAAAAATTCGACTTTTTCTCCGGATGTGCCTTGGGATCTTTTGGTCTAGAACAATCATCTACATTTGCTCTCCTAGAATACAATTCCTCTCCAAAAGATTTACTTTTGAGAGGATTTCTTGACATATTTATAGAAAAATTGATCTTTTTCTCCGGATGTGGTGGGGCCATGAAGTTTGAGTGGGGTCCGCTTCCTCTATCTTTTGAGATATCACAAGATGGTTTACAAGCACCAGTGGCAGTAGTAGTAACATGATTGTCTGTTTTAGTCATATCACTGAATATTGACCTCCATGCAGTTACTGGATCACTACTGACCTTACCAAAATTAATGGAGTTCTTCTGAGTCCTATTATCGTTTGGTGTATTTTCAGTGGCTTCTGGATGTTTAGAATGTTGATCAACAATGGTGGTTTTTGCAACTGCAACTGCAACTGCATTCCCTTTAAAGGTTTTTGCTTTTTTACAAGCATTCACAGGAGTTGTTATATCAACAGGTATCTGATCTTGATCATGTGGCACTTTCCTTTTGATCAAGGAAGACGTTGGCAATGGATTACATGGTTTTGGATCCAATTCAGCATTAGAAATTTCCTTTTCTTTTTGCTGGATTTCATTATTTCCACACAGCAACTCCTTCAACAAACGCACTTTACGAGCCTTTCGTCTTGTATGTCCATTTGATTGATCATTTTGCTGACTGGATTTGATTGGAGTTCCAACAACACCAGTTATTGTCTCTATTACTACACTATCTTGCTGTTGATACTCATCATTGCTCTCTTTCCCACATAATAAACCTGCATTTGCCTCTGAAGCAACATTCGTGTCACTGACTTTAACTGCTTCTTTAGGAACCGCGTTATCAACAGGGATTTCTTGACAGTGTTGACTTTTATTGACTCCAAAAGCAGGAAGGACATTTTCATCATCATCATCATCATCTTTCGTATTATCAATAGATTTAAGACCTGATGAATTAAGGAAAACTATTTATGCAAAGAAAAATGACATGTCAAATATTGATGTCTTTACTAATATATAAAATGGAATCTACCTGAAGTGCCTTCACCAAAAGGGAGCACTGCTACTCCACAATCTTGTTGAGGGAAAGACGTTGCACATGATCGGATCATACTTTGATCACACACAGAGACTACTGGAGTCTCATGTGAGGTATTTGCATTTCCACAGTTATGCACACAACTTTGACAAAGCCAATATTTAAAATTTGGGACTTCCATAGGAGGAAGTGCTTCAGCAAAAGGTAGGAAGTTGCTTCTACCTCTTTCACGCATCCCAGAAACATAACCTCTGAGAGGATATATAATAAATAAAGTTTTTTAAATACTGGAGAATGAATTATTATAATGCAGTCAACTGTCAACCTGCCTCAGAATATATAATGCAGGATCAAACAGGAGGAGTTACCTTATAGAAAAATGGCTACATTTTTCAGCATCACCCTTCTCCTTGAGAAAGCCAAGTTTGATACATAATGAATCAATCTTAATGGTGGAGCTGCTGGAGTTTAGTACAGAAGAAGCATTGTTCCCTTGGGCATCTACTGGGAAAATTCTCCTTTCATCATGGCTATTCATGTTTAAGATATCACTGTAACAAGAGAGCATCAAGTGTGATTAAACTCATGCATGTTGTAACATGAAAGCTTTGGCTTGAATTGATAACATGTAGAAAAATTTTAGGTTTGCATGAAGGCTGTGTGTGTTCAAAGTAAGTTTATAATGAGCCTACAAATGATATAATTAACATGCAAGTACAATTTCATTGACAATGACCAGCCTGTCATATCAGAAACAAGAAAGCCATGCATTGGAAAGTTAACTATAGTATAAAATCTAAACCATGGTTAACTAAATGCAAAGTACAACTCGACTATTACAGCTCAACTTAACCATGGCCACATATATCATAAACAGAAGAAAATAAATTGGTAAAACATATAAAACTTGATGAAACCAAATTAATATTTCAAACCAAATCTGTAATTCTAAGCTGCTAGCTAAGAGCCTAAGATTAGTTCAACCTACAAACCCCAGAAACAACAGAATTTAACCTTAAAAGTTGCATTATCTATTAGTCAAACGTTTTGACTAGAGAAAAATTGACTTGCACTCATAAATTAATTAACTTTCCTCAGACTGAGATTGTAAAAATTATTTAGAGAAAAAGCTCCTACATGTTCAATTGTTCATAGTCTTTTCATGATAAGCAAGTGATATCCAGATGCATGCTAAAACTTCACTGTGAGCTAGCACAGCATTGCACAAGAAACGATGATGCAGAAAGCCAGAAACAATGCCATAATTAAAGCTAAAAGAAAACAAAGTTACACAAACTCAATTTGCCCAGTCATATATACATTAATAATAGAAAGCAAGGAACAGTAATTCGTGAGAAAAAGTTAAAATTCATCCACCACATCACATGTACAGCACCTAGTATACGAATCATGAAACCCTATGAGTGTGAAGGAAACCAAATACTTTTAACTAACGCGCCCAACCTGTGTCTCTAAGCAGTAGGTGTACGTAGCTTAATTTAATACAACTACGAAAGGTAACATCAAAAAATAATATGTGCAATATCTAAAAAGATGAACGAACCCTAGCAAGAAAGGAAATGGAAAACTAGAAATTTAACATAGAACTTGAAAGCGTAGATGGATAAATAAATAGAGTAAACAAACACCGACACAAGTACGAAAATAGATTATCAAGTCAACCAATCAATTAGGGTTATCTCTTTCCCCGCCGCTCCCACTAAAAAAGGTAAATAAAAAAGGATAAAGCTTTCTACAGTTCTCGAGAAAACCCAATTCAAATTCATGCGATTAACCCCAAATTTACGATAGGAATCCAGTTTCACCCGCATAATTAGATGCATACAATGATTTCAGGTTTATACAATGGGTTGAATACGTAGGCTTCGGTGTCAGAAGTTCAATCAAGAAATAACATAAAATGAACTTTAAATTAAAACCCAGAAAGGATATAAACACAATAGAACAAATCAAACATCAAAAGCAAATGAACAAAAATTAGCAAGAAAATTTACTAGAGAGCGAGCTCAGATCACCAGCTATAAAATTTAAATAATAAGAAAAACAAAAGCAAAAGCAAATCAAAATACCGACAAGCAAAAACCCAACAGATCTGAACTTGAAATCTTCAACAATAACACTTGAAACTACCATCACTAGATGAAGAATCAAGAAACGAATCCGAATACCAAAACTTCACTTACAGATTTGAAGCCGTTTGCGAGTAATTCGATGGCGAAACTCCCGAAAACCCTAGTCGTCACCACTTTAGGTTTCCGCGAAATAGAGAGAGAGAAACATAGAGTGAGAGAGAAGGCTGTCCTAGTGTGTGTTTCTGGAGAGAGAAACAGCGAGGCGTTTTATATACTATAGTCTATCATACACGTATACAGAGTAAAACACACAGTGAACGTGTAAAGTATGTGAAAAAGCAACCAATTATAAACTACCACGTCATCCAAATGGTGAGTGCTAGTTGTTTGTTAACGCAATTACTAAAACTCTAAACCCTAATTTGGCTCACGCGCCCCGTTCTCACGCGCAATGTTAGGTGACTGGTCAATTTTCTAGTCATTTGTTATTGTCGGATAAGTCCAAAAGATGCCACGCACTTAAAACTATTGTTATTGGTTCGTGATTGCACGCGCATACAATGCCGTATGTGATCGTTTGTTCTGCTAGAAGGGTTCAATAGTTAAAATAAATTAATTGAGAAGGGCAAATGTGGTAATACAAGTACAATAATGGGAACAGTTAAAGAGGGAGGGACAATTACGTGAATTAGGGTTTTATTATTGGGATAATAACTTTTTTAACAGGTTTTTATAATGTATATTTAGTTAATTATAGGTGACGATTACGTATTATAAACAATATTAACTTTCAAATAAAAGAAAATCGATCATCTCTAATAATTAAATGTTTTTTTTTTTCATTTGTTACATTATTATTCAATTTGTTAAATGTTATTTTTTATGGTTATTGTAAATTATTATTTTTTATGTGTTATTTTAAAAAATTTTCTACATTATTAGATTTCATATAATATTTCAATGTAATATTTAAGTAAATGTAATAATAGATTGATATCAATTTTATTGATAATCTTACTTTTTAATTTCAAATTTTTTAAAATTAAAGTTTATTAGTTTTTTGTTTATTTATTTAAATTTAAAAGATAAAAAACATTTCTATCATAATAATTCAATATTTTTTTATTTTATTTATATAAATTTAAAGTTCTCAAATATTTAGAAATTTACATTTAACTTTTGTTTATTTATTTAAATTATTTGATTAAATGTCATAGATAAAAAAAAATATTTCACTTTTAATAATTATTATTTTTTTATTTTATTAAAAATTTAATGTTCTCAAATATTTAGATATTCATATTTAATGTTTTTATAAAATAACTCATGTAATAGATGGGTCTCATAATTATCACTATATTTTCGTTTGCTTTAATTTAATTACTATTATTACAAATGTTTGGCCATCAAATTACAATTCAATATGATGAGTAAATGTAAAGACATTATTAATTCATGGAAATTTATATTAGAGTATGCTTTTAATTTTATTTAAATAAACAATTCTACTTGGTCTACATAAATAAAAGATTAAAGCCTTATTTTCGTGCATACCAAAAAGTAAAAAAAAAATAATAATAAAAATAAAATAAAAGTTTATTGTTTTAATTAAGTTAAAAATATACATATTTAATTATTTATTAAAATTTTATGATATAGACGAAAAATATATTGATTTACGATCCAGATTTTAGGTGTCTAGTATTAAAACTATGACCAGATTCACACTATATATAAATGTTTACATGATACACTTTGAAATATGTGTAAGCTTTATTTGACAAAGCATTTTAAATAAATATTTATGGATGTTAAAATAAATAATCATAATGTGAATATACATTACCAAATTTTATGTAGCAACATAAACAACAAAAACAATATTGACCTTTTTCATACAAATAAGATAAAGGTCGATAGAACATTATACACCAGGATATGGTCTATAGACCACTCTATAGAAAGTAAAAGTTCTATAATTAATTGCATCAACAAAATTATCCATGCATATAAATACTGAAATACATCAACCCTGGTGTAATATAAACCGGTGTATCGTTGGTTAAAGTTATCCATGCATACAAATTAGTGAAAAAATTTGGGTTGGGTCGGTACTTTTTTAAATATTTTTTTTCAATTAGGGCATCATCTTTTGAAAGGTTTATTTTTTACTTATAGTAGCAACGTTTTGATTATAAGGGGCTATATTGTTATAAAATTAAAATATTTTTAGTTCCAAATAATATAATTGAATCTTTAAAATGATAAATAAATAAAAAACATTAAATGTTAACTACATCAATCCTTACAATAATCAATCTTCAAAACATTTCAAACGATTGTAAACACCAATTCTTTTTCGTTAACCTACTAAAATGAAAACTAGTTAGAAGATAGATACATATTGTATTATGATCTATTTCAGAAAAATACAAACTAAATAAATTTTTTAAAAGTATAAAAAAGTAGTACATTACTCGTTTTAAGTTGCGCTCGTTTTATTTTATAAAATATAAATATCTATAATTTTATGGGTGGAAAATATAAGCTACTAAATATTCCGGTTAATAGACAATTAAAATAGTTATTTATTAGGGATGTTAAAAAATCCCGTGGGACCCCAAACCCGTAGCTCAAAATAGTTATTTATTAGTTATTTATAGTATAACGTTTTTAAGATGTTATAATATTTTTATTTTAAATATATAAACTTATGCTATAAATAACTATTTTTATCCAAAATGGTTTCTTATAGCTCAAAAAATAACTTCTTTTAACATAAACAATACCTTCGTTCGCCCAAAAAAAGGCAACCCAAATGGGGGTGGTGGTGGGGGTAATCCTGGAATTCGGGGGCGGAGGCGGGGATGGGAGGCTAGAGATTTCGGGGGCAGGAGCGGAGGCGGGGGAACAGGAAAATTTTGGGGGTGGAGGTTCCCCTGCCCCGTTTGCCCCCGTTGACATCCCTATTATTTATTGTAAGCGGATTGTAGTCAATGGGTGTAAGCAACCGATAATTAAACTAAACTAGGGAAGAACCCCACTTTACGGGGTTGGATACGCCAAAGAAATGGATAAACCTGGAAGGACATTAACATCTTTTAACCAATCATAATAATAAACCTGTAAAGTTTTCAAACCTTCCAATTGCTACCAAGCAATAACCATTTGTCAATTTTCAAAGAGTAAAATACAACATATCGTTTTGGGATAAAAGAATGAAAAGGCAACGTACTTTCATTTCTTTGGCCTAGTCTACATAAATTTGTATATTCTTATGATCTATCTTCAAGGTCTGATTCTCATTTGAAGTGCTTACAGAAGAATGATGATGCAATTGAAATGGATCCAAATGAAAATGGATACTTTTGTAAGGGATCTTCATCCTCTTCTGATGTTATAGAAGATGATGGTGTTGTTGTTGGAACATCTTCAAATCACTACATAGCTGGGTGGGAAATGGACAGTAAAGATATAGGAGCAGTGGTGTTCTACCCTGATTACATGGTGTATCATGATAGTTATTATACAGATTATGTAATATCTTTTAATAGTCATTCGATCAAAATGGAAGCTTCAACCACAGATAGAGATGATGAAACTTTTAAATTCAAATGGGAAATTGAGGATATAGTCAAGATTAGATCTTATTGGCATGAGCATGTAAATCAATTATATTAGTGTTATATTTAATTGTTTTATGGTTTTATCTATGTCTGTGAGGCTTTCAACTGCTGTAAATTTTTTTGAATTGTGTGCAGGTTGAAATAGCCATGGTAGTGATTTATATACGTACCAAGGATACAAAGTTGACATTGAAGAAGGGCGAAATATAACAGTCGGATCATATAATGTATTGTCAAACTGTAGAAACCTCCATTTCCAGCAGCAGAAGCATCCATTCTATGTCTCTTAACTTTCCAATTCTACTGCAATCTATTATTACGTAGATTTTTAGGGTTCTGTAATAAAGAAAATGAAAGAGAGATGGAACTGACCTTATTAGTGCTCCATAGAATCTTGCTTCTTTTGCAACTTGTTTCTCCGATGCTTTGGTTGATTGCTTAAAGTATTTTCAAAATTGTTGAAATGAAAAAGAATTATCAAACAATCAAATGTAAAAGAAATAAACAAAAAGAAAAGAAAGTTTTAGCTTTTTGATTTTGTATTTGAGAAATACTCGAAAGCATTGGAGTTTTGTGGCTGTAGAAATTGCAAGGTCAGATAAAAGTTCATTAGGTAATTGCTTTAGTCTAGTCGTACCAGCTAACAAAAAGGGAAATAAGAAAAATCTAATTGATGTTGCTCTATTAAATCCAATATTTAAAGTAAATATCATGAGTCATATGATTTCTTCCTGCTTAATTTGGGTAAATGAATAAGATTGGTGCAACTAATGCTTTCTTGCTTCTATACATTAATCAGGCACTAAGTTGAAAATTGTAGTTATTTGGTCTCATTATCAATGGAATGAAAGACTTTGAACAATAGCAAGTTTAAATGTCATCTAGAAAACAAAAGAGACATTTTGTCAAACACTATATGATCATGAAACAAATCGAACTTCACAACAGATAAAATCTTGAAAAAATACCTCCGTATAAGCATCGATAGTGGCACTGAAGCTGTTCTTCATGAAACAGAGGTTACTTCCTCTTTATCTGCCATCTGTGTTATCATGAATTCGTGCATGCATGATTTCAAGTGTAGGAATTTGGAAAATTGTATAGACAGGAAGGTAAGATTAAAATAATATGCTTCTATAATAATTTTGTGTGCTCAGGATACGATTAGAAGAGTCAAAGATAAGCCCTAAAATTGTTAAGGTAATCGTTTACCATTAGGTCAACACCCACTAACACATCGCATGTAACATCTAGTCAATACCATTATTTGAACACCAAAAACAACAATTAACCCAAAAGTGAAACCGATAATCATTTCGAAGAATGAAAAATACAACTTATATAGTTATAGACCACGTATGTAATTGAAATTGTCCAAACCGCTTCAATCAGATGAAGATTTGAAGATCATGAAGATGCAGAAGCACAAATCTTTCTAAGTGTCTGTGAGAGGATAAAGCCCTAAAAAACATGTAGACCCATAAGTGTGTAGGGTTAAGAAAACCCAACAGAGAAGGCGAGCAATGGAGAAGGTGGAGCAGACATCGAGAAAAATCGGTCTTTTTGTGCACCTTTGATAAAAGCTTTTGTTGGGAGAGTATACCGACTGATGGACACCAATCCATTCTTTATTGGTTTAGATTGGTGGTTGAATAAACACAT